TAGAGACGGGGTTTCACCATGTTGACCAGGATGGTCTCGATCTCTTGACCTCGTGATCCACCCGCCTCAGCCTCCCAAAGTGCTGGGATTACAGGCTTGAGCCACCGCGCCCGGCCGAGACATGAATTTTAAACTGAACCATCAATATATGTCACAGTTTTGAATCGCATGACTCATTTTAGATGCATTTTTATGAATGTCAATTTACCTTAAATATGGGCAGGCTGAATAACAAGTAGGAAAAACATAAATAGTATTTTTTCTTCCATCCATCCCTTCAGTAAACACTTTTTGAGCCCTGTGCCAGGTACTATAGGTGCTATAGCTAGTAAAGACTCCCCTTTCCCTTAAGGAGCACATAGGTAGATAGTAGAGAAAAGCAAAGCACAATTGCAGTGACATAAGGGTCTGTTAGCAGCAAGCCCAGGGTGCTGCAGAACAGCAGAGGAGAGGCCCTCATCTTGGACTTTAGGGGAGTGGAGTTATCTCAGGAAACACTTCCCAGAGGTAGCCCCCAAGCTTAGACTAGAGGGGAAAACCAGCAAAACAAAGGAGAGGGATGGGACTTCTGTGTCAGATGGAGCAGCACGCTCAGTGCATTGACTTATGAAAGCGTGGAACAGCCACAGTTTGAAGGGCCACATGGTAGTGGGCCTGTCTCAGAAATGCATAGTAGCTAATAGGACACCTTCTGAATATCTTCCCCTCCCAGGGCCTGTGGTCCTTTCTTTGGGGCATGGTGACATCCAGGCACAGATAACTACACACCAGCCCCCAACAGATGGGAAGGAAGTGCAACAAGAGGTTGCACAAACACAGTTTAAGAAAACACTGAGACTCAGGAATAGGAACTTCCAAAGAGATGTCAGCACCTGAGCTGATTTCTTGATCACCTGCCATGTTTCTGAGTAGAAATCTCTTCCTCTGTTCTCCTCGTATTTTCTCTTCATCCTTTATTGTCATTCCATGCCATAAAATTTAACATTCTTAAATTATACTGTATATGACAGCATTCTAATGCTATTTTCACTGCAAATATAATTGTAACTAAATGCGTCTATATTGACTTGCTGCTTTTGGAGTTTGAGGACTTGAGAGAGCTCAGGAGAGCAGCAGCATGGGCCTGGCTAAAATAGAGGTGCAGATCAGGAAAGAGGAAGACTGTTCACTGGCAGTGGGCAACAGTGCCGCCCGCCCGGCTTCAGTGGATGTTTTGAGTGGACTCATCAGCACCTAAGAATTGATGATAGTGCAGCTTGCCTCTTACAGTGGCAGCACTGGCAGTGATGTTCATTGGAGCAATGAGATCAAAGCAACCAACCTTGGGAAGCAAGAGCTTTGGTGTTCCTAAGAGGCAGCTGTAGGATATCTCTGCCTCAGGAGTGATGGGCCCTGAAGACTTGGTGGCACAATTCACTGCCCATGAGAACTCAGGACAAGCACTAAGGTAGCTCAGAGGAATGTCTTTCTTTGGGAGGCTTTTGGCAAACATTCTGAAAAGCATTATCATAATCTTAAGTATGATGACAGAACTAAAGCAGGAGACATTTAAAATATCTACCTCTTAGAGCCTGGGGCACTTTCTTTGGGACACAGTAAAAGGCAGGCACAAGATAACTAGGCACTAGGCCCCAGCATGTGAAGCAGGAATAGCAAGAGCTGCAGTAAGCACTGCTAAGGTCCTGAGACCCAGGAGTCCAAAAGTACTACCGTACTTCTGAATAGAAATTGCTTTTGCCGCCCCTGCTTCTTTTCAGTTTTGAGGGTGGATAATTAATCAACCAGTATATATTGAGCAAAATGGACTGAAATAACTAGATACAGCTATTCAGAACTGTCTCTAAATGCAAAGAATTACGCTAAAATTGGTGGTCCTGTACCCCGGGCCAGAGGGAACATTTGGCAATATCTGGGGACATTTTTTACTGTCCTGAATGGGGAGGGTGCTATTGGCATCTAGTGGGTAGAAGCCAGGATGCTGCTAACCATCCTGCAATGCACAAGACAGCCCCACCACCAAGGATACCCAGCCCAAAATGTTAGCATGCCTAGACTGAGAGACTCTGTGCTATGTCTAGCAAACCTGGATTCTCATGTACTCTATCAGCAGAGAGTATGGTTTTTGTTTTGGGGTTTTTTTGCAGTGGTCAGGGAGAGAGTCTTTGTAATTTCTCTTCTACTAAAAAGAAAGCAATTTTTGCTACACCTTAAAAAATTAGTTTCTGAGGCCGGGCACAGTGGCTCACACCTGTAATCCCAGCGGTTTTGGAGGACGAGGCGGGCGGATCACTTGAAGTCAGGAGTTCAAGACCAGACTGGCCAACATGGTGAAACCCTGTCTCTACTAAAAATACAAAAATTAGCCGGGTGTGGTGGCATGTGCCTGTAGTCCCAGCTACTGGGGAAGCTGAGGCAGGAGAATTGCTTGAACCAGGGAGGCGAAGGTTGCAGTGAGCCAAGATCATGCTGCTGCACTCCAGCCTGAGGGATAGAGTGAGACTCTGCTTCCAAAAAAAAGAAAAAAGAAAAAATTTGTTTCTGAATTTAGCAGTTTCCATCAAAAAATTAAAATGCAAAAATAAGTTTGATCTATAATTCTACCTCTAGACATTTATCCTATAAATAGACTCACATGTGATATACAAAGTATAGTAGTATATAAGGATCTTCATCACAGCACTGTTACTAGCAAAAGACTGGAAACCACCTAAATGTGCATTAAAAGATGACTTGTTAAATAAATCATGATGTTTCTATATAATGCACTGCTTCCCAGCTCTTTGGGAGGCTGAGGTGGGCAGATCACCTGAGGTTGGGAGTTCGAGACCAGCCTGACCAACATGGAGAAACCCCATCTCTACTAAAAATACAAAATTAGCCGGGCATGATGGTGCATGCCTGTAATCCCAGCTGCTCGGGAGGCTGAGGCAGGAAAATTGCTTGAACCTGGGAGGTGGAGGATATGGTGAGCCAGTATCGCGCCATTGCACTCCAGCCTGGGCAACAAGAGCAAAACTTCATCTCAAAAAAAAAAAAAAAAAAAAAAAAAAAAAAAAAAAAAAAAAAAAAAAAAAAAAAAATGCAATGCTATGCAGCCATTCTTAAGAATCATGAATGAGTAGTTTTATATGTTCCAAAAATAGAATCATTTCAGAGATACACTGTTTGTGAAAAAAGCAAGATACAAAAGATATGTCAAATATGCCGCCATTTTTATTTTAAAGAGGAAGGAGTAGAAAGGAGAAATAGGGGGTGTATGTGTGTAAATATACTTCCATATAGAGGGAATAGCTCTGCAAAGGTACATGAGAAAATAGGTGCATTACATGGAAATATTGTGTAATGATAAAAATAATAAAAGAAAAACAAGGAAAATAGGCACAGCGGTACACCCTTTGGGCAAAGTGTCTAGAGTACTGGTATCATATTCCCTTTAATACAGTTTGAAATTTTGGTATAGTTTGATTTTTTTTTTCCCTCCCATGGCCTATTTCTAACTTTTAAACTTCATTTATTTACTTATTATTTATTTATTTAAATTGACAAAAGTTGTTATATATTTATCATGTACAACATGTTGTTTTGAAATATGTGTACATTGTGAAGTAAATTGAGAAACATATTTAAAAGTGTATAATGGTCCTGGCATGGTGACTCACACCTGTAATCCCAGCACTTTGGGAGGCTGAGGTGGGTGGATCACCCAAGGTCAAGAGTTCAAGACCAGCATGGCCAACATGGTGAAACCCCATCTGTACTAAAAATACAAAAATTAACCAGGAATGGTGGCACACACCTATAGTCCCAGTTACTCGGGAGGCTGAGGCAGGAGAATCACTTGACCCAGGAGACAGAGGTTGCAGTGAGCTGAGATCGTGCCATTACACTCCAGACTGAGCAACAGAGGGAGTCTGTTTCCGTCCCCCAAAAAAAGGGTACAGTAGAAGGTCTTGCTTTCTGTCTCCCATCCAGCTTGTTTCCAGCTGCTCTCAACCCCACACATACAATGCAGAGAATATATTTAGTGGCTTCTTTTGTGTGTCCTTCCAGAATTTCTTTATGCAAATGCAAGCAAATTCAGGTATATGTTCTAATACCCCCTTTTTTATGCAAAAGATAGCATGCTTAAAATTCTGTTCTGTACATTGCAGGTCATGTTAACTTTAAAGAGTATGTGTATTTAGCCAAAAAGTAGCAGTTACTAGAAAAATTACTTTTAAAATTGTACTTTTGTGGCTTTGTTTTTTTACAATCTTGTCCTTTCTGCCTCAGGTGGAACAAAATTGGGCCACGTTACAGGGAGGTGAGATGACCATCCAGACGACGCAAGCATCAGAGGCCACCCAGGCAGTGGCATCATTGGCAGAGGCCGCAGTGGCAGCTTCTCAGGAGATGCAGCAGGGAGCTACAGTCACCATGGCGCTTAACAGGTGGTGGCAAGAGTCCGGGAATAAATGAGAATCGTAAATCTGTCCCTGCAGATATGGGTGGAGGCCTCTTAAAGAGAAATGTATCTCAGTTTGCCACAATTGGCAGTTGGAACTTAACGCTCTCAGCCCATAAGATATTGTAGTTTGGCCTATAATAGGTCAGTCCCTACCGAGAAAAATTAAACTTCTTTCCTTCGAGCGTGCTTAGGAAAGGTGATGTGAAATGGAATCCTCCAGTAAAAGGTAGTTTCCAAAACTCAATTGTATTGTTTGCTGCTTAGTTCCTTCTACTGGCTGTGGATGGAAAGATCATCTTTGTAACACTCTTGACACCACCCAGCCCCAACAACCAGTGCAGCCTTTCTGACCTCCAGCCCAGGCCTGCTGGTCAACCCTTCCCCTTTATCCTATTCTGTGTCCATTAACCAGAAGCAACAAGGCTTGAGTGCTTTATGTTTTCAAGGGATACAGAACAAATTAAGATGCTTCAGATTAATTGTCCTTTTACCCTACAAAAGAAATTGTATTTTTGAGGGGGTATTCATCCATGTTGAAGCATCAAACAGCTGATTTTACTTGCTTTTGAGAAAATGTGTTGCCCTTGCTTATCAGTGAGCTCAAGATAAATAAGTTTTGGGTTATTGGGGAAAATAAGGAACTTTTCTCTTGAGGTATGTTAGGAAGGATGCTGCTGAATGGGTTGCTCCAAGAGCTGGTTTCTAAAAGTCGATTGTATTGTTCGCTGCCTGATTCCTTCTCCTGGTGTTGACAGGAAAGATCAGCTTCATATCATTCTCCCTCTTCTTCATTCCTGATGCAGTTGTATTTTTAATGAACCCGGGCAATTTTAATTAATGGTCAAAAGTGTGAGAATTGACACCAGATTACTTGGGTTTGAAGCCCAGCTCTGTCACTTACAAGCTGTTTGGCATCCAGCAGTTCATTTGAACTCTCAGTAGCCAGGATCTTCTATTCTGTGAAATGGAGGTGATCACAGTACATGCCTTCTAGGGGTGTTAGGAGAACTGAGGTCAGTGCATTGCATGCAGTAAGGCTGCTCTTCTCGTGCATAGCAGCTATTAGTGCCTGATAGTCACTGAACTTTGATGGCATGCCAGCACGCTACTGGGTAAGGTTGTAAATAGAGAAAAGGGTGCTCTAGCATATACTCTACCCTCAAAGAAATCATACTCTTATAGGGGAGACTGACTTAAGTAAAACACTTAGCAAACAGTATGACTTATAGTGTAACTCACTATTGAATTGTATGGTAAAGACTATGAACATTGTAGAAATTCAGGAGGGGGATCACCTCCCCCAAATATGAACTCAGTGAAAGGTTTAGATTGATCATGATAGATGCTAGAGAGCTGTGATGGATTTGTGTACAGTTCACAGTATGAGGCTATATAGTGCAGGGTTTCAGAGTCATACAGATTCAGGTTTGAATCCTGGCTCCACCACTCACTAGCCATTTGATCCTGAGAAACACAACCTCTGAGCCTTGTTTTCCCTGTTGTTATAATGAGGATAATACTCATCACACAGAATCATGTATATGAGATGATAGAGGTAAAATTCTCATTGCAGGGTCCAACCCATAGTTAGCACTTCAAGAATTATAGTTATTATCATTTAAGTTGTATTTTAAGAGTTGTCTCTTCTGAATTGATTATAGTGAGAGGAGATAGATCAGTTAGGAAGAGGCACTCCAGGTATGCCTTGTTAAGATCTTAGAAACTAAAGTAGTAAGAATGGAGGTAAAGTGATTCATTTCAAAGGAAGTATGGCTAGGGCTTGGTGGTTGATTAGGAATTAGAAACTGAAACACACATACACACACACACACACACACACTCTCTCTGTCTCTCTCTCTCTCTGTCTCTCTGTCTCTCTCTGTCTCTCTGTTTCTTTCTCTCTCTCTCTCTGTCTCTCTCTCTGTCTCTCTCTGTTTCTTTCTGTCTCTCTCTCTGTCTCTCTGTCTCTCTCTCTCTCTCTCTCTCTCTCATCTTCTCAAAGTTACCCAGCTAGTTCCTAGTGATCAGAACATTTTTTTCAGCCCATTGAGCCATGTTGGTCTTCATTTCTTTTTTTTCCCCCACTCAGGTATATACCCACCATGTTGCTTTTCAGTAACATGAAAGTCTTATTTGGTTCCTTACACTTGGCTCAATTCTACCCCTCCCTTTGAGAGAGACACTCAGATAAACTTCCTGAAAGGCATAGCCAAAGTGAGACGATCCCTCACTTTAGTTCAGACCCCCCACCCCACCGTAGCTTGGGGCCTAACAGGCCCTCATTGAAGACCAGCAAAACTTGATTTCATTGCGACTTGCAGCCAACACCTTGGGTATTACAATGAAGTGTGTATGCCCTGGGAACTCTGTACATAGTGGAAAATATGAGGCACATTTGGGCTCCCTTTGTTGTAAGGACCAGGGCTTATTCTAAAGGCAAGAGGGTAATAGTATCCCCTGAAGGCTTGTTAACAAAATCAGATGCAGCTGAGGTGGCTACAGTGTTTACTCCAAAGGAAGGAGAATGTGTTCACTGTGGCATAGAGGAGGAATAAAGAGATGTTGAAATCTCATTGCAATCAGGTAGTTCGATGCCCCAGTGAGTCTTAGGGGTTGGTGTATTGCAGCTTCTGCTGGGGATAAAGAAACCAAGCTTGGCAGCAGAGACTAGACTATAGCAGACTCTTAGGGGAACATCAGGGCTTTCTGAACCTGAGAGGTAACCCACGGTCTGATGTCTTAGTCAGGAGGGTTGGATGCAAGGCACAAGCCCTTGACATTTGCTTCCTTGTGGATGAGATGCACTAGAATCATTTCGTCCCTGCACTCTGAACCTCTTCACAGAATTAATGCTGGAAGTCATCTCAGTGAGAAATACACAGAGAAATCTGGTCTTTGTTGCTGTGATGACAAAGCAGTTTCATAATCTGCCCTCTTGCAGCTTGTCTCTGTTTCAGGTGGAGATAAAACAAGCATGGTTCTCTAATAACCACCTGCACCTCTGCTGCAATGTAAACAGCAGATGTGGGCTCAGGGGGAGAAGGGAGAGGAAGCTACGTGCAATGGCAGGCTGGGGAGTAAGGAGGCAGAGGGGCTTCTTCATCTTGTACAGGGTAAAATGCAATCAGGACAGTTGCAGGACAGACTTGTTTCTCAACCATGCAGTTAAGAGAGTTTCATACTGCAAGTCACAACAAGGGCCCAGGGCTCCACAGCCTTTAGCCCACCCTGACTTTCTAACAACCCCAAGTGTACGGTATGGAGAAATTGTCCTTTAAAAACCTAAAAACTATGTTAATTTTCAATTTCAAAATAAAGAATAAATCAGAACCTTTGGAAAGGAGGTGAGAAGGGAATCAAAGCGAACAAATGAGCAGAACATCACAGCTGTAAAAAAATTTGTGTGTGTATATACATACATATATATATATACATATGGCTTATATGTATAAGCTATTTAGCCTGAACAACCTAAGAGGAAAGGAAGTGAAGTCATCATTTGCTTGTGAGACAGTGATTAATTTGAATTTTCAGTTCTTTGGTTAAGCTGTCCTGGACTTGTAGTTCCTCTTAAACATGTCCTTCTACAAAACCATTTCCTGTATATGGCCAGGATAGTTCTTGCATGTAGAGATCATGATATGGCTTTGTAGACTTACTCTACATTTCTAAAGTAGTGGAAACTTAATTGATAGCATATTGTCAATACTGAGACAGTATTTATTATGTGTCTACTGTGTGCAGTACTGTGACTCAGTGCTATGGGGAAATATACTTAGATTAATTCCTCTTCTCAGGGAATTTTAGAATGTCCTTTTTTTTGTTGTGAAGATTTTGCTTTTAAAAAATGAGTCATATTTTGAAAGAAAAATTTGCTCTTAATCTTTAAGATGAAAATATTATTGACTTAAAATTAGACATATTATTAAAATAAAATGGGGCTTTATATACGGACTGGTATTTGTCCAATAACATGGGATGGAAAACTTAGAATTCTTGTCTGGAATAGAGGTCAGGGATGGTACAACTGCTTTTCTTTCCTATAGGTAAAGATGAGACACAGATAAAAGGTTGATGGAAACCTCTTATTTGTAGCTCTGGTTTTGAAATGACTTTTGTCTCAAAATTGTAAAGTGGGTCTAGTTCAGGGACTTTTTAATTCCATTCACCTTTTTAAGTGAATGTAATCTTTTTCTATCATTTAGTTTGATCATTTCCCATAAAGTTGAGTGTGAAAGGTTAGAATCGCTCTGGAAATGACAGCCCCACTTGCCACAGGCGTCATCATTTTCTTTATGCCCTATGGAAAGACCCTAACTAGGGGTAGAATAACTAATCGTACTGACCTGTCAACCTGTCACCACCATTGCATTGGACCCTTCATATGGCATTCCATATTGTTTCAGGGCGTTGCTGATTTTCAGCCTTTCTTCTACCATACCATATTTTAGAAAGAAGTTAAAGAAAGTAACTTCAAGTTTTTAGGGCTTCAAGTAGCATAAAATGAGTGTGATGAGGTGCAGGTACACTTTCATGTCCAAGCTTGAGGAGCTGCCCTCTCCCTTCGTTGCCCATGAAACTCATCCTGCAAGAGTGTGTTCAGGATGTACAGGAGGGGCAGGATGTCATCTTTGATGGTTATAAAGATGAGATTATTATAAATTACGAGAAGAACTGTAGGGAGTAAGCAGTCATTGAGGTGACCTTATAGGATCATATTTCCATGTAAACTATTCTCATTTAGTTTTCTTCTTTGGACTATCACACAGCTTTTTCCAAAGAACATACTTTTCTACTTTCCATAAAGCCTCAGGTCACAGTGTAAATATTTGTATCATTAATCATTGACAGGTGGATGCTGTAAAATTGGCTGGTCATATATTTACTTATTTATTCTTTCTCTTTTTTTTCTCCGATATCGGTAATTAATAAAATTTCCCAATAGTTGGTAGTAATGTTTATTAATATAAATGTCTTTTTATT